CTATTCCGCGTTTCGTCTGATGAGTGTGCGTCCCGGAGGCCTAATTTAGTCCTCTTTCCCTTCCCACATTTTGCTTATAATTTAAGGATGGGAAGTGAAAGTGGACTTTCCGGATGAGAGGATGCATGTTAAGGGAAAATATTTTTTTTCTGTGGATCCTTTCCTCCGTCGATTAAGGTAGACAACGCATATGCAATTGCGTATGTCTATGGGCAACGGTCACTTCGCTATTTCAGCGATTTCAGATGGCCAGTCTCTTATTTGCCACCTTATGATATAAAAAAAAGATTCAGACATTTATTGTAAGAGATAAGAAAAAACAAATTTCATGTACTATTTTTACTTGTTTTTAATTTCTTAACGGTAAGTAGCATTTACTCTTGATAACAACAAAGAAAAATAAGACAATCGTCATTACAATACTGGTATTTATTATTTCTTTTGCTCTCCTGTTGCATTTGCCTCAATAGACTTTAACGAATAGAGCTTTCTCCAATACTTTCATAAAAATTACGGGGAGTTGACATTCAAGCAAAAATAACAGTGTCGAAGTAATTAATAAAAAAAATATTAAATTTCATGTAATTTGTACTCCTATCTATTGGTCATAAATCACTCTCGTGCGTGATAAATGTGGTGTTAATACCGTGATCAAATAGATTACGTTACCGTTTAACATATTGCCAGCTAATTTCTGTTAATCGCAATGATTTATGAGAATTTATTAAAAAGGTGAACATATTAAATATTTTTTTGTATCCTGAATATCAATTACGAAGCTATTACGCAGTTATAACGAGTGACAGAACTCTTAACAACAAGAATTGTTGCAAGGATAAGCCGATCAAGAGTACTAGGACCTCATAAGTAAAGGTGTTATGCAGATAATGAAATACTTTATAGCTTTCATAGTTGTAATTGTAATCAACATTGGATGAGCTGCATACCATGTAAAAAAGCAAAAAAAAATATACATTGTAAAACATTTTTTTGTTGGTAATTTTGCTTATTAAATTACTTATCATAATGAAAACAAAATCTTCTTTTCTAAAGTACTTAGTCAACGATACTGGCTTGTCAAATTTCCATTTTAAGGAAGATGGAGGGTGCTTTGTGGCAAAATTGATGACGTGTAAAAAGCCGATAGAGGCATCGGTGGCTTAATATAATATCCCCGCAATGCCAAAGACCTCTTCATAGGCTCTTAAGCTTTTAAACCGGGTTATTAATTTTCTATCCAAGTTTTAAGTAGATATTTGAAAATATAAATTAATATATTATGTTTTCATAAATTATTTCCAACGTTTCATTAATTTATGATAAAAATGAAATAAAAATATAAGATTACTAATGAATGAAACAAATATTTACTTCTAAAACAAACCTTCAAGAGCTAAAGTTTAGAACCAAAACAAACTCGCAATTTTGTGTGTAAAATATAATACTATATGTTTTTAATATACGCCTTATTGAATGAAATTGGTAAACAAAAAGGCGTCAATTTAGTAAGATGCATTATTGATACAGCTTCTAAGTTCCCAAAGTGGAAATAATGCTTGAAATACGATAATTTTTATTCAAAGCACAATAAAGGCATGAAACTTTTTCTTTATTATGCTTATATTGTTTCGTTAACTTTACTTGTTAAAAATTTTTATGAAACACTTCAGATATAATTGATCAATATTGCGTTAAACCGTATTTTCTTTTTCTCCCAAAGTAATTTCTTTTTTATATATTTCTCATTTATGAATAACCTAGCTGTAGCCCGCGACTCCGTGCACGCGGAATTGTAAAAAAAATTAATTACTTTTTTATTTAATTATGTGTTTTTACAGACTATATTCTACATCTATACCAAATTTCAGCAAGATCCGTTGAGCCGTTCTGGAGATATCTTATAATACAAACCATCTAAATATTCGTATTCATAATATTAGTAAGAAGTTAGTTTATTTAAAAAAGAAAATAATGCAAGTATTGTAAATTAATTATCTAGAATTCTATAATTCAAATTATTAAGCGCATTACAAATATAAAATATCCAGAGTAGACTTTTGCATATTCAAAGAAGTAGAAATGGATTTGAAGTAAAGTAGAGTTAAGTTACCTGTCTTTGTTGTTAGAAATAGTTTGAATAAGATGTCCGATGCTAACAATATATCAAGTTTCACGAAGGCAGCATTAATTAAAAGTTAACGTGGAGTAGATAGACGAGAGCAATCGTAACTTTGCTTGCGAGCTCTCTTTGAGGTGCGCTTTCACTGGAGCGGAAAACGGACGAAAGATTATGAAAACTTTTTACCTTCTGTTCAGGAATTGATTCGTTAATGCGAATTTATATGTGTGTAAGCCAAAAAGAAAGATAATTTTACTATTATAAATGCGAATGTTTGGATCTATGCATGGATGTTAGAAGGTATCTCCAGAACGGTTCATTAGATCTTACTGGAAGAACACATACAGTACTTGTTATTAATACTTATTATTATTAATAAGTTTTTTTTTCGCGCGTTAATTCAGAGTGGACAGAGATGCGGGCCAAGACTATTTTATTACAAACAAATTTGTTAATATTGCTTGTTTATTACAAGTAGTCGAATCAGTCCTATTGTGACTCTGTTTAGCCTTAAGAGTGCAAATGTTTCGGATACCGTACCGTCGTGTCTATGAGACAATTGACTATCGAAAAAATCATAATACTTTCAATATGTTTTGTATCTCTCAGTGTATACACGCCTTAAGTTCGTGAATCGCTATCTCCTTAGGTCGTTATAGGAGACTACGTAGTGTACACATCGGTGATTGAAAGCGTATTGATTGGCGCTACATACAGTCCGCATAGCTTTATTTGCATATGCCAACAACAGTACTGAATAATTTTATTACCTTGTAAACAGTTGTCTTTTTTAAACTTTGCATTTTAAATATTAAATTTTGTCTAACGAATGGTTACTTTTATTTCATACTAGCTCTCGCCCTCGACTCCTTCTGAGAGGAATTAAAAAAAACATAAAGAGCTGCCTATGTGTTCTTCCATACTATGTTCTACGTTAGTGTCAAATTTCATGAAGATTCGTTAAGCAGTTCTGGAGATACCTACAAACAAACGTCCGTCCATCTAAACTTTCGCTTTTATAATATTAGTCAGAGTAAAATTTTATTAGCTACATGTATTGGAAATAAAGTAGTTTTATTTATGTTAAACTGTCATGATACGAGAAGAAAATATGACATAAAAGTTATATTTTACAAAACATAACGCTTGTTTATCATAAAATAAGCTATGAATGTAAATTGTTATTTCGATGTCCCATTTTACTGCAGCTATCATAAAACAGATGGTATAAATTATATACAATGTAAGTATGAAGATCTAATAGTAAATAAATTTTATATATATTCAATAGAAAAATTTTATATTGATCGATGAAACACATAGCGCGTTATTTTAGTATTTTTTGTATGCAATAGTTTTTGACATGTTTGCAAATGAATTGAATCCACATAAATGTTTGTTTAACAGTACGATGATAGGTATAGTGACGTCATCGTTCTATATGACGGTTCATATTCCACCTACGTTAAACTAACGTTTGGCATTCCAGTATTGCGGAGGTTTGACGTAACTTCCTGTCTAACACAAATGCATCATGTAATGATCCCTGTATTAACGCGAAGGTTGAAGAAAAGGGTAATGATAAAAATCCGACCGAGCTTTTCTTGTTATAGCACATTCCATTTGTTTCATCGTTTTATTCTACATACTAAAATTTATAAAAATTTAGCTGTCGCCCGATATTCCGTTTAGGATCTTATCATTACAGGATATATACATCTAGATCGAATTTCACCGAGATCTATGCATCTGTTCCGATACCTTCTTACAAATACCCATCCATCTATCAATACATCCGAAAATTCGAATTTATAATGTTGGTAAGAAGTAAGGTACCACTTCGCAGTGCAGATATACATTTTTTATTTTATTATTAGAATAAATATATGGTACGTATTTGTACCACAGCTGGGCACACGTTTCTCTTTTGAATACCTGTTTAACCGTAAAATAAGCTCGTAACTATTTTTATGTTGCTTGTAATAAATTCTTTTACATACAACTGGAATGCATTTTTCTTTGAAAACTTACCACTCATAGTCTTTGATCATAGTTTGCGCTATGAAAGTTCATATCTAAATTACTTTAAACCGTAATCACAAACTACTAAATAATCGAATGCGCTCCAAACTATTATACTCATTAAATCTACAATTAATTTAAATATTAATAGGCCATTAGTAGTTTTATTAGTCTAGTACGATACACGCAAATAAAAATAACCTAACATAACAACGATAAATGTTGTGCAAAATTCTTAGGATTACTGGCAACATGAAAAAAAAATTAATGATACTAGTATTAAAAAAAAAACTTTATTTGTAAGTAGCTATGCGTTCCAAATTGTAATCGAACCAAACTCCAAATTTCATCCAGATTCGTACAGCCGTTCTGGATTTATTCATACGTAATAACAAACATCCACATTTCGCATTTATAATATTAGTAAGAGTTAAGATTAAGCAATTGAATGGAAATAACAATATTCTCTACATAAAACTATCATGAACTAATAATTAAAAAGCGATAAATTCAAAAACTTTTTCAATTACATTGTTCTCAAAAGTTTTCGGAAATTCGTGTTTCAAAACTAGGTAAATTAGCTTGCAAAGTAGCGCCAATTTATTACTAACAAATTGTTTCTGTAAAATGTATTCGAAGCTTTTACTTGAAATAATTATAAACATGTTTTTTATTTTTATAATATTAGTATTGACAATCAAAAGATCGGTTACTTAAAAACTTTATTTATTAGTAGAAAAAGAAGAGTGCAAAATTAATAAAAAAATTAAAAACAGCAGTCATATACCTGACCAGCATTAACACAAAAAGCAAAGAACCCTAAATAAAAAAAAAAGTTATGTGTTCTATACATACATACTTGCAATTTGTTTCAAAGCGGTCACAGCTGATTTCAATGTACTCAATGTTCGGCGTCGTAAATTATTCTTTCGACCGAAATTATCCATATCAATATTTACGGACATTTTAATTTTGTACATGTGAGTGAAAAAGGAGCACCGCAAAATGTACTTTATGTTCCCGAAGTCGAGAATGTACTGGTAAATGCATATCAGTAATCGACAGTCCACTTATGGAAGCCATAACTCATATCGCACAACAAAATATGTGGAGATGGAAAAATGTTTTTAAAATAAATTTATTTTCAAATATTTTTATAACGATGTACTCAGGAGAATATTGTTCGTTGTTGAGATTTTTCCGAAAACGTTTACAAATCACATAATTGTGATATCTATTGTCTATTGTAGAGTATACGTAATTTTAAGCAAATACCAAATTTTTAACAAATGAGCTAGCATGTCTCAAATCCAAGTCAATGCAAAAATATTAGAAGTCCGCTTCCTACACTTCGTTTTTTTTTTATAACAGAAAGGGAACGAGCAGCGGGAACACCAAGGTATACAACGACGCCCATGGACATCAGCAATACCAGAGGAACCGTAGATGCGTTGCCGGCCTTTGAGATGGTAATACGCTCGCTTCTTGAAGGACCCTAAGTGGTAGCAATGTAAACAAACAATCGTCGTTTAACAAGTAGTGTTACAGCGAAAGCAATGCCTATCAAATGTTATACTCATAATGAGGTACGAATTTTATTGACATTATTAGTAAATCGACTCCACTCCATTTTGAAATCTTTACGTTAACACCTGACAAATTTAAGGCCTATTTACTGCGGGCCGGTGCGATGCGCGAGAGTTCATACGTAGCGTTACCTAAACACTGGAACTATTTCCGTCCAACGCCAGAGCTATCAAGTTCAACAGTTCAGTGTAAATCATATAGTACGTATGTCGCAATTTTCATAATAATTATGTCTATCATTCCTCTTTTTAATATCTCACTTATATCAAGGGAATTAGATCACGATTTTCGATTGCTATTGCATTCTTTACATATATTAAATAAAAAGTATAGTTAGATTTAAAATGTTTAATAAAACACCGAAAATATTACGAAATGGATCGAGTGCTTATGTCAACCGTAAAGTTATTAATCGACATAGTTTGTATGGGCATTCTAATTGTATCAAGTAAACAAAATATACCAATAAAGTAAAGTGAAAATTCAATACAGAGTCATGCGAATGTATGAATGGATATATGAATGTTTGTTAGAAAATATCTACACAACGGCTTAACGGATTTCGATGAAATTTGACATACGTCTATAACATAGTCTGGAAGTACACATAGGCTGCTAGGTTTCACATGGACGGAGTCGCGGGCGACAGATAGTTTGACTATAAATAAAAAACTAACCCTTGCTTATGACCCAGTTACAATTTATACGCTTGAGATGGCAATAAAAAAAATATAATCTCACACTATACAAGCATGTGAATGGAAATATCTTTGGCTGATCGTCTTTTTCTCCGTCGATTAAAGGTAGGCAACGCCTCTTGCAGATGTCTGTGGGCGGCGGTCGCTTAAATATTTCGGCGAATACAGATAGCCACTTGCTCGTTTGCAGTCTTATAACAAAAATATAAATAAAAAGGAAAGATTGGATGATATAGTATGATCGTCACAAAGATCGGCTTGCTTGTGTAGGTATTATTTGGAAGTTATACAAGCGCAATCCGAAGCCAAGCCTGAGGCAACCTATATAAGGTACAGTTCTGTGTATAATTTACCTTTCGCTTTTCCTTTGAGGAAGCTTTAATTTCACTGTTTAACCTCTGCAAAAGTCACCTTTATCTTACGCTTCAGAAAGCTTTATACGCTGTTTAATTCAAACCTATTTAATTTCAACTTACTTAAATATGAATTGCGACAATTTTAATTTGAATTATAAAAGATACTTCTGGTCTTTGGGTGTCACAAATTTTTTTCTGAAATTGAATTTTTCAATTTCAACAACGAATTTTGATAATTAATAACAATGCGTGGACAATTATTATATATTTTGAGTGAAATTGTTTTTTGACCAATATTTTTTTAATACGAATGAATTTTCAGCTAAGGAAACTAACAGTTCGGCTTAACAAGATGGATTGTACAACCAAGTAACACGAACTATATGTCACATAAATAATTTAAATGTATTATAGTAACTTAAATCGTAAAAATTAATAATGCTAATATTCTGTTTTATTACGCTTTTAAAACAAGAGATAAATATTGTTAGATAAACGCAAAATATTTTTTTTGTTAATTTTAATTTGTCAATCCTGAAATAGAACTGTGAACGATAAAAATGTCCGCGCCGACCTCTGTTTTAACTGAACCTGTTAAAGCTTTATTGAGGTCAAGCAAGATTAACGCTTTGTCCACATTGTTTTATACAATGTTTAAATTGTTAAATATTCGCTTTAAATAACTAAAATTATGAAGTGAAATTTTTATATATTTTACCATAGTACTTTAATTAAGCAATAGTTAATCGTAATTATCCTGCGTAAATTGTATTCGCGTTTTTTTTTAAAAAAAACAAAGGCATTGGTATGTTTTCTGCTACATGTAATGAACTATTAGAACTGGTAGTCACCAATTCGTTGAAATGCGACCATAAATCATATTTTTTTTGGGCGAATTTATAATTGCTAGTGACTCAATTACGCAAGACGTATGTCTTGCGTAATTGAGTGCCATTGCCATGACAGCAACATTTAAACGCTGTTAGCCGAATACAATATAGTTTGAAATGCTTTTAAGACGATGCTTTGATTTCAGGTACAGACAACAAAGAGATATCAGGTTACTGTAGTTAATAAGTCATTTTAATGGTATTTTCTTTGTTATACTGTACGTAAATATCTTCGAAAGGTTATCCGTAATAATATTATTACTAACTTATGACCTGTAAGTTAATATATATATATATTGAGTAAAATAGTGTCATTAAATTTGTTTTATATCCCCTGTGTCATAGCGGTTCAGTCACCGGAGTTTGTAGGTTTTAAAAATTACTTAATGGTGCAAAAATATTTATTAGTTTGTTCCGAAAAAAACAAAAAGCATCGTAGAAGATGTTTAAAATTCTAACATCAATAGAAAGGTTTTCTGAACATATTCAAATCTAATTTAAATCTCTCATAATATTATTTTATTTTATAACTAAGTGAAGCTTCGGGGCGTTCTAAAAAAGCTAAAAAAGGTAAGGTCATTTGTTTGCCTTCAATTTGTAAGAAATAGACGTTATTAAAATAGGACAAAATAAAGTATTTATTTGACAAATGATTTATGATAACATATCTTCCAAGGCGTATACACTTATTTAAATATTTATGACAATACTTTTATGCATCATTTATATCGTATAAAGATATGACATAAAACTAAACTAATAGCTTAAACTATTAATATTGCTAGTTATTATAAATTATATATAAGAAATAATACCAGTACCACTCATCCTGATGAAGGGCCCCCGATGGGCTCGAAACTAGTCGGTGCCGCCACCGGACGTATATACGTGAGTGTTTAGCCGTTTTTATATCAGTTTAATAGAAGAAAAGATTTGGAGTATGTAATATTAATTTCTTTTATATATTTTGTGACCTGAAGAAACATGCAGACAAAACCACGAGCAATAGCAAGGTATTATATATAATTTAATGACAACACAAGTTTAAGTCTATAATAGTCTGAAATCTCTGTCTAGCCCTATGGATTATGGGCGTGAGTTATGTTGTTGTCGATGTTGCCAGTCTAAATGTGTCAAACGTAAGACATTATATACTTTTAATATGAACTAGAAAGAGTTTTATGTTTTTATGCTTTAATAATAACAATCCACTTCGAGAACAATATTGGAGGAAACAGGAAAATATGTTTTCCGTTACCCTTCACCCAAGATGTTAATTAATGTGGAAATTACCTTTCTTGTTTGTGCTCTGATTGAATATCGAATATAAAAGAAACTTAATTACTGAACAGCATCCGACAAAACTTCGCGCTATATAATTAAAATTCATAATGAATATTTATAAGGTTCATGCTGTTATTTATAGTAACGTAGAGAATCGCAAATTATTCCTTACTAGCTGTCGCCCGCGACTCCGTCCATGCGGAATAAAAAATAGCTTAATAAGTAGCCTATGTGTTCTTCTACGTTCTACATCTGTCCAAAAGTTCATCTAGACCTATTGAAACGTTCCGCTGATATCTTTTAACAAACGTTCGCGTTTATAATATCAGTAAGATAAGAACAGACGAATCGAAATTTATTATAAAAATCTTTTATTTATCATACGATTAGGTACATAGGAAACCAATAAATAAATACGCCAAAAGACAAAAAAAAGTTTAAACAAATACAATCATAGTTCAATCATGACCATGAGTAAATATCCACAAAAAAAATATTTAATAAAATTTTCTAAATGAACTTACTAGTAATTTGTTTGAGAACCATCACAGCTGACTTCAGAGTGTTCAAAGTTCGTCGACGTAAGTTTTTCTTTCGAGAGAAACTCTCCATATCTATGTCCATGGACATTTTGCTTTAATTACATTAATAATTTTTTCTGATAGTCCCTTAATACGCGAGAGCACAGTCAAACTACGTACTAGTGAGAATGTTGAGGAAATACTATTAGAAGATCGTCTACATCCTCGGCACAGAAGTGAGTTTTCATAGAATATCGAAATACATAGAGACAGTTACTTTTAAATTAATTGAATAAACTAAGGTAAAATACAAAATACATTTGACAACTTCTTTTGTGTAACTCAATAGTTACAGGTTTGGATGTCTGTCGGCAAGTTTTCAATGAAAAGTTAATAGTAGCTTAATAAAGAAGGCGTATGCGAACTAATAAATTGACCGTTGAGGCTATTACGACCTTATAAACGTTAAATAATAAATTATTTAATAAAATTCAGTTGGCTATACTAGCTACCAGCTAAGGCCATTTTGGAATGGTCCAAGATAAGGAGGAAAGCTTTGAATGAAATTATACATATCGATAAATACTTAAATCTCCGAAACAGATAGTTAGATTTTGTCGGGATTTGGACAGGGAGGTAGCTAATTTATAAGGGCATATAATAGGCTACTTTTT